GACATAATTTTCCTCTTAACTACTAATATGCTGCCCATGGAGAACTGTCTAAACTAATAATCCTTCTGCCAAAACCAAAACGAAAAGGAGTGGACAGGTTAAGAACTTAAAATTGCTACTTCCCTTCAGGCAGCAGTTTTGATCACCTTTAGTAAGTGACTAAAGAAAAATGTACTTAGCGTGTCATTGAAGCCAAACAAGTTGTACGTGTTAAGTCTTGTATTTGGCTGAAGGTGGCAGCCCTGGGCTAAGTACAACTCAAATTCTGGAAGTAAGTCTTGCATCTGATCTGTAAAGGGGCTTCCAAATGGTAAAGACTTACACTTCAAGAATCAGGTTTCACCAAGGAGTATACTCATGACAAATAACCTTCCACCTTTTAAAACAAGAGGAATGACTTGCAGAAGTAATGACAAATTCCTTTTGCCGTGTTTAATTGCTCATGAAGAGGATTAGACAAGGTTAGCAATTTTTGCTTCGTTAGAAGTACCCACCAAATTAACAAGAAACACAGTACTAGGAAAATGACCCTTGCTATAATTTCAGGCTATTACACACAACTGGAAGACCAAGACTGCCCAGCAACTTACAAAGCTGTAATTGTATGCAAGCCTCTGACAAAATGTTCCCTCCATAGCCTTACAGAAAACCCAGCTCTTGCTCATTTCCTTCATACCATAACAACCTCCTACTATTCATGATAAAAAGCTGAAATTCCCTCTTCCAAACCCCTACACCACACTGTGTGTGTTGTTTGGTGGTTGTTTTTTGTTTTGTTTTGCTTTGTTTTAAATGATTGGGGTTTACAGCCTCTTGATTTTGGGGTAAACTTTAGTCCAGTTTTGTTGCTTCCGTCCCCAGGTAACATTCTGCAACACTGAGCACTGAGAACATTGCCATTGATTTCAATCAGCAAAGGATCACACCCTAACTGCTTTCAATTTCGCAGTTACTAAGCAACACTATGTGATTGCAGGCTCCAAGTAAGCAACGTCCTGTATTCAAAGGCTTGAATCCTATAACTCCATAACTGACCTGGAAACTTCAGCACCTACTAATGAACACCAGCTTTGCAAATCTGGGATTACAGACTCTTGAAGCACAGAAATAAGTATATCTTATGTGCTGTTAATTGATGTTAGATCTACTGAACCATAAAATTTCCTTGTATCCTTATCTTGGACCTAAAACGAAGAGCACTTGCTACTACACTTTAAAGTTTCTATATTTTTCCCAGGGTTAACCAGAATAAAAATCTTTTTTTCTTTATATCAAAATTCATAGATAACGTTCCTATTAAAATTACATATTCAGGTACGCTTCAAGATGAAAAACAAAGCACACGAAACTGGAATTTTAAACAGTACAGTATGTTAGATTTTATACTTCTTATTGAATATTGATTATAATAGTAAATATCTATCTTACATTATACCAAATAATTGCTCTAGTTTAGAACCAGCAGCCTTAGGGGAACATGTAACAATTCCTTACAATTTAGTGTGTTTGCAGTAGTGCCCATTTTTCCAACAATTATATAAAAACACTGCCATAGGGTATATATTTTTTTTTTAAATAGCATCTATCACTGTTACTGAATAACACCATATTCTCAGTTTTGTTAGCAGTAGTAGACTTTCCTGAACACAAACAACTCTCACAAAATACTCAGTACTGGATCATTCCCACTACCCAGTGAATTATAGGAATGAAGCTGGCTGTCCCTCCTTGGGCAAATCTTGATCTTATTTAACATTTTAAGAATGCAAAATTTCAAGAGTGAGATAAGCATGTTGGAATTCCACATACGATAAGGCTGCAATAAAAAATGCTGGTTGGTTCTGTTCCCCCCCTCTATCTTGGTTCTTCATCATACCTGTGGCTGTGGAGATGCATGCCAGAAATAATTAGAAATCTAGTTTGTTAAGAAGCATGGGGAAGGGGTGGAAGGGGGGAGGGGGAAGGGAAGTGTAGAGAGAGAAGAGGAAAAGAGAATCATAGAGACTCTTCAGAGACCTCAAAAGATAAAAAGAACAGAATAAGAAAGCCAGTGATGAAGAGTACTATCATTGCATTTAAACATATTTGACATTTTTTCCCCTATAACTGACAACGTTTCTATTTACACATACTAAGTATCTGCATCCTGTTATATTAAAAAGCGGTTGAAATAAAAGAAAGGCTCCTTCCAAAACATAAGGCGGCGTCAGAAAAACTTGATAGGATATTGTTGTTCAGAAAGTAACAACAAATTTAATGCTGATTGCATGGGGCATTAAAGCTACAATAGAATTCTTCACTCAAGACAAAAAAATCTTAATATGATCAGTCAATACCATCAAAGTTTGCTGCATGAGGAGGTTAACCTCCAAAGAGCTATAGTGAGGTTATTTTATACAAGGGAGTCATCATTGTAGTCCAATAGAAACTTCAATCAACCTAAAATACCAGCTATTTCCAGCTTATGTCCTGGCCCCTTCACAGCATAGGCCGTGATTTTTCACTCCTCCAGAGAGTTTCTTCAGTTATTCCGCATTTTTATTGTGTTTCATATAGATTCATATATGAATATATCTCTTCAACAAACAAGAAAAGAAAACCACAACCAACCACCTCCACCAAACCATCAAACCTGTGCTGAAGCATCGTGACTGTTTAAATTATAATCACCATAGATAACGATGCATATCCAGCTTCTACTTTGAGCGACTGGTTTTGATTGCCTCACAAGCCAGTCTTTTGTATTCAATCAATAACATACAAACAAAAGGACTTAAGAATTTTGAAGTAAAAGCTCTCTTCCTTTCTCTTAGGTAAATATTGTTTTATGGAAGGAAAAGCTTGGGCAGGCTTTGGAAGGTAGTTGAGTTCTGCTATGAAGAAGATAAAAAAAAAAAAGAAAAAAAAAGAAGGAGTTATGAAATAAAATGTTCACCTCCATTCTGGACTCCTGGAATTTTGAATTTTGGACAAAAGCAGCTTGCTGCCATAACACACTCAAAAACCACTAAAAAATTTATGGGATAGTAACTGCAAACTTGGCTTCACCAGAAGTAGATGCAAATTGGCATGCCAGGAAACCTACTGGGGTTTTTAATCATTGCAAAAGAGGATTAAAAAAAGAATACTCAAAGGAGTAGTAGGCACGGAAGACTGATGTTTGACTCCTTACCTGACTGAAAATGAGCTACCTTGTCCTCATTGTTACTTTGATCCAAATAAACTAATCATTAGCCAACATAAGTATTAGCCATATTTCATCAGTTGTGGTAAACAATCCAGTGCTTCAATAAAATTACAATGAGATGCATTAGACTCAGCTTTTGTAGCCAATTGTTTTTGCAGAGTTACTGGAGGGAGCAAAAAACCAAAATTCTGTCTACACAAGGTGCAACTCTCTCTAAAAGAAGTGAAAAATAATTGGCATTTTCACAACTAAGGTTGTACACACTGAAAGTATGTTGCTAATAAATAATTTTTATTATTTGCTTGTTTGTTTTAATAATACAAGTCTAAAAGTCATTCAAAAGCTAGACTTGTGACTAAATTCTCGCAGGGTAAGAATTACAATGAAAAGTTAGGACAGTTGTGGTGCAGAAGGGATATAATGCACCATAATTCAGAAAAAGAGGTGACACATAGTAAACTGGAAACTTTGACTGCTGTAGAAACCACTGGTGTTTCATGTACATTCATTCACATACACACAAATGCATACACTAACTGTTTTGAGGCCACAGTATAGGTCTCCTCACACATGTTAAAAGTAACCTAAATATAAGAATTGAGCAACATAAAAGATTATCAGGAAGAAAGCCTCAGCACTGGTGTGTCATATCTGATGCAATTAAAATTACACAGTAGCCTTTCACTTCTGAGGTTGACCAGAAGCTGTATTATATTTACTACAACACGAACATAATAACCTGAGAAAGAAAGTTAGCATAAACTATTAACCCACTGCGGAATAACTCTGGAAGAGGATATCTTTTAAAAAGAAAAATGGTCTCATTAAAACAGATGAAGGCTTTGAGAAAAAGCTGTGCCAAAGAACTGGGACCAAAATTGCACCATTCATAGACACCATACTTGGACTTGAACAGAAAGAATTCAGAGCACATGAAAAATACAACAAAAGCTTAGGAAACCAATAAAAAAAGGAGTACAACCTGGCTATCTGAAAGCACACTTGTGAGAATTAAACAGATCATATTCCAAAAGGTTCCCATACCTAATTAATAGTACTAGAAGACACTGAACAACAGAGATTTTAACATATGCAGTCTGCCCTGTCCTTACAAAGAATTGCCTATTCTCAGCTAATAAAACACAAACATACAAAATTTTCTATATACAAATAATCAGAAAAATCCCCCACTGATTCTCCTCTCCTCCTTTTGCTCTGTAATAATTCCAATTAAAATAAGTTATGCTGTTCTTCATGCAGTTTACAACCTCATAAACAACCTGAGGAGAAAAGAAATAAAACGAAAGCAAAGAGCAACCTACCATTTAGCTAGTGACCAAATAGGCATATACAAGATACTACATTCTTCCTTCTATGCTTTACAGATAAAGGAGCACTCTGATATTCCAAGAATCAGGGGAGGTCATTTGCTTATGATACTTTAAAATTGAGTGTGAATGCACTTGGCATCTCTTAGAAGGAAAAAAAAAAACAAAACAACAAAAAACACCCCTAAAACCAAACACACCTTAATTTGTCAGTTTCTCTTTTAAAGCTGACATCTGTCTGTCTCCTTACTGCTCAAAAGAAAAGGCAAGCTTTCTGCTTGCAGGCTTCAGATCACTCGCTCAATTGCTACCCTCAAATCACAGCATGCAAGGGCTGCATTCCACCTAAGGACTATTTGTGGTGGCTGACACGAACAGAGATGTCTGCGCTCACCAGGGGAGAAAGGGGCATTTCAGACTGTGAAGCTGATTGCACTGAAGTGTTTGCCAACAGAGATGTCAATGAAGTAAAGGGGTTTCAATACCTGAGTTAACTAGCTGTTGCTCCATGACCCCGCAGCCCAGAACCTCCATCCATTCTCCCTGGAAGTTGATCTCCATCTCAAAGGAAGGGTGAGTAAACGGAAAGTAGCAGTCTACCCATCTGACTTGCAGTCCTGCAGCAGTGTTTAAAAAATAAATAAAAATGAAGGGTGTATGGTTAAAAGCCATCCCCCCAACCATCTGTAAAACTTGCCCTTCAACTAATGACACCAGTTACCACAATCCTGAGAAAATAAATAGCAAACAAACTAATTCACAACACTTGCGCAAGGCAATAAATCTTAAAACTTGTGGGAAAAAATGATCATGTCTTTTCTAATATAAAAAACGCTTTGTGCAATTCAAGCACCCTTTGAAACCAAATCAATCATTTGTCAAACTCTAGCAACCACCTGGCATCAAAAAAAAATGAGGCAAGATCATGGAAAGCCAGTAATTCCGTTATTCTTTGTACTTGGAAATGACTAACTACTCATAGCAAAAGCTAAGTCTTTAATTTTTACTTAGTATTTTAGGGATCAATTAGGTAAGTAATTTTTTCATCAGAACCTATTTAAAATACAAAGCTATTCCTTCTGTATATGTTTAAATATGGAAGTTAAAAAACAGATACTAATATACACAAATAGAAATGCATATAGACAGAGTTGTACATTATTAAGATATGCTATATACCAACACACATGGAGTATTCTGGACACATGATACAAGATTTTAACGTTATGTGGATGTTACATGTAAGAGATGGGTACCACTGGGTAATTCTCCCTCCTCCCCAGCTCAGCACCACCACAAGTACCACTGCACAAAGAAAGGAAACCCCTGACATTTCAGAGCACCAGAGACAGAAGAGGACAAAGTTTAGAGTGCCACCAAAGACACTCTATCAAACATCATTATATTTGATGAGTTCTAGTTCTTGTAATAATTTAAACCAGCTTTGTTTTGTTAAACAAATTTTTCTAGTCATTAGGTGTCTGGAAAAAATGTCTCAGAAACATGAGCAGTAAAAACTCAAAGAAGAATTGAACTGCAAATGCTGGGAGTTAATGCCTTAACCCCAAGAAGCCCATCTTTCCCTTCAGTTAGGCCAAATGCTAATCAGCACATTAGGATCATTAACAACCAGGCAGGTCCAGTTTTGAAATCAAGGGGCATAGCAAAGGTTGCTTGGGTGATGGTAACTGTTAACACTCCTGGTGTGATTTCCAGGCTTTGAGTTTGTTTTGTACAAGGAACTTAAACCATGAAATTGCATGAGAGGTTTTAAAATATTTTCTGTATACTCAATGATTAATTTCCTTCCATTACTTCTGAAACATTAAATATGGCTACAGAAATTGAAACCGTAAGTTACCACAAAAGCAGACATACATAGCCAAAATCTAAAATACCTAATAGTTCCAGGGAACTTTTCTGGATGCTATGAACTTCCAGATGGAGAGGCAGGTTTCAAACACACACATCGGTACTTCTACATCTTTTCTCTTAAAAATCAACCTCAGGAAGTTATATGAATGATAAAAAAGTGTTTTGGTAATTGTACACACAGAACTCATAAACCCGGAAGCATTAGCAATTACATTATTCCTAACTGTGCTGTGTCTTACAGCAATCACTTTATTGCTTTTTTGTTTGCATAACAAGAAAAGACTACACACATGAAAAAAGTCCTGTGTGTACAACAGTATAGTGTGCAGAACAGATTTTTTAATTTCCCAGTCCTGGTACAAATGCATTTTTAATCCTAGGGCTGTACAACTCTGCATTCACTGCAAAGCCATGTACATATAAAATATCTTCATTTAGCCTGCAAAATTTGCAACTGCAGCAAGAATGACATTGAATATTCAAGTAGTTCCATGTTCAGTAACAACATTTGGATGATGGTTTCTTTTTAATCCTATGCTTACTTCAAAATGAAGCTCTGGGAAAGAAAGGATTTCTCTGGTTTTTGTTCTTAATTAAAATAAGCTTTAAAAAGTAAAAAAATTAATTTAAAGCTCTTTTTAATTTTGAATTTTAATGCATATTAAGTACTTAAGAAGAATTTGTTTTAAATGTAAATAAGCAAAAAAAAAAAAAATCTGAATAAAGCAAATCAAATTCACAATGAAGAATCAACTCTCACCTTCTTTCTGTTCTCTGAATTAATAGTTAATACCATATACCACAATAATTTTATTCATACAGTAGCCAAGACAATTGGGAATACCTCTGTAGTTTACATTCAAGTGTTCTTTCAGACTTTTGGCTCTGGAAGACTTTACTGAAAAGCAGGGGGTGCTCAACCTTAAGCAAGATTAAGCTTTCCAACTGCATTTCTATAGATTGTCACAGAATAAGTGGGTACATTTATTATTTATATACAAAATACTGTCTCGGTGCTCAATATATTCCCAAGGAATAAAGGACATAGCTCACACTTGGCAAATTGAACCACTAAAGACTTAAAAGGATTACAAAGATGAGTCTTTCTGTAGTACTATATAATTTACCTGATAAGGCTGAATTTATTTCTTCATGTACAACCTACGAAATGCCGACAAAAATTATATTCTCTAGAAATCTTAGGAGGCCAAGAGATGCGTATCCGTCTTAAAAGACAGAGGGTCTTAAAAGAGCATAGTGCCGAATCAAACCAAACACTTATCCCTACATGCAAACTCAGTGATTTCCCTAGTTCAAAGAGATGATTTTTTATTAGCAGAGGACACTTGCTCATTTCACAGCTTCACAGTGCTCACAGGAATCCTCCCAGTAGGTACACCTCCATTAGTAACTGTGGTGGGTTGACCCTGGCTGGACACCAGGTGCCCACCAAAGCCCCTCTGTCACTCCCCTCCTCAACTGGATGGAGGACAGAAAACACAATGAAAGGCTCATGGGGCCAGATAAGGACAGGAAGAGCTCACTCACTCACCAGTTACTGTCACGGGCAAAACAGGCTGGAGCTGGGGAAAGTGTTTAATTTATTACTGATCAAGTCAGAGCACAGTAATGAGAAAACAAAAACTAAACCTTAAACCACCTTCCCCCCACCTCCCTTCTTCCCGGGCTGAACTTCACTGCCAATTTCTCTGCCTTCTCCCCCCACAGCAGCAGAAAAGGGGAAAAGGAATGGGGGCTGAAGTCTGTTCATCACACTTTGTGCCTGCCACTCCTTCCTCCTCAGGGGGAGGACTCCTCACACTCTTCCCCTGCTCGTGTCAGGTCCCTCCTATGACAGACAGTCCTCCATGAACTGCTCCAGCGTGAGTCCTTCCCATGGGCTGCAGTTCTTCATTAACTGCTCCAGTGTGGGTCCCTTCCATGGGTGCAGTCCTTCAGGAACAGACTGATCCATGCGGGTCCCCTGTGGGATCACAAGTCCTGCAGCAAACCTGCTCCAGCATTGGCTCCTCTCTCCACGGGCCGCATGTCCTGCTATGAGCCTTCTCCAGCATGGGCTTCCCATGGGGTCACAGCCTCTTTTGGGCATCTCCCTGCTTCAGCGCAGGGTCCTCCATGGGCTGGTGGACCTGCTCCTCCATGGACCACCATGGGCTGCAGGGGACCGCCTGCCACAGCAGGGAAATCTGCTCTGGTGCCTGGAGCATCTCCTCCCCTCCTTCTTCACTGACCTTGTGACAGTCTGCAGAGATGTTTCTCTCTCATATTCTCCCTCCTCTCTTCTGACTGCTGCTAGTGTTGTATAATTTTCTTTTTTCCCTTCTTAAATGCATTATCCCAGAGGCATTACCACTGTCACTGATGGCCAGCGGTGTGGGTCCATCTTGGAGCCACTGGATGCAGGGGAAACTTCTGGCAGCTTCTCACAGAAGCCACCCCTGTAGCCCCTCTGCTATCAAAACCTTGCCATGCAAACCTGATACAGTAATTTACATGTCACATCTCCAATGATTAAGAAAGAAGTGAACAGTCAATATTATTCCTCAGAACTGAATCTGTTTAAGGAATTGGTCGTAGCCTGCACTCAAAAGTAATGGTGTTATCAGATACAAAGCTAAGCAAATGCCACCCTAAATGAATCTCATCATGAGAAAGGCTTGACCAAAGGCACTAAAAAAGAAAGGAGGAAAAAATAACCCCAAACAACAAACCCCACCACACACACATTAAAGCAGCCTATTGCTATTCTACAGCACAGAAGCAACAAAGCCAGAGGCACAGATGGCCTACACTGACCAGAAATTCTCTTTGTTGCTGTGAGGATTAGTTTCAGTATGGGAGAAATTGGGAGAGGGGTGCAGGGCAGGTGCTGGGGAGCACATAAGGTTATCAAGCCATGGCAACTTGAGGGGTGTGTTGATTTGTAAGTACTCGGCACTTCATTGCTTCAGCTAATTTATCTCCCTTGCAGCAGACAGAAGCTGGGTGCCCATGACCCTACATTAGCTCACATTTTTCAGAAGTTATTAGCCAGACCATTATGTCCTCAATAAATGATTTATTTTTTTTTCTCTTTTTAAACTCTTTACACTCAGATCTCCATGCACTTGAAGGAGATGCCAGTACAACAGAGTCAAGAGGAAAGAGCAGAACAACAAATTTGATTTAAAATCACCCACTGGCTGTTCAGTGAGACCCAGCAGCAGCAAAACCATCAGTCAAAGCACAGCATTACTCACCCTCCTGCCTTCTCTTATCGCTGCTTAGGAACTGGGTAGATAAATATGGGACAGCAGTGAATTTTGGGCCATTTAATGTAAAGCAACAAATCACAGAACCAGCACAGAGTCATTCTTTTCTGTTCACTATAGTAAAATTACTTCTGAATTTCTCAGAGTGCAGAAAGCTTTTGGCAAACCACAGAAGGGTTAGGGAAAGAACTGGAGTTGGGAAAGATTGACTGACTTTATGAGGAAATGTAAAACACCTAACCTTGGAAAGCCTCATTAAAAGGTATCTAAATTGACACAGAACAGACATTCTACACTGAGAGATCTGCATGTGGAGATGGAGGTGTAAGTTAAATTAGTGGATTTTAAGTGTGCACTTAAACCTGCCAGTAACAGGGGAAAACTAAGAAAGGTAATCTCTAGATACAATATTTGAAATAGCTTCCTGACAGAAGGTTCCCATAAAAAAAATGAAAGACCATCACTTGTAGAATGTAAAACAGACAGGATATACCACTGGAAAGTATCACTGAAAGAACCATCTTACACTGTCAAGTATTTAAGACAACTGATTGCATGCTCTAGATCTTTGTCCCTAATACCTGTTGTTCCTTTGCCTACTGGCAAAGTGTCCTGGGTTCAGCAGTAGCAGTCAATTTTTCTCCTTCTTGGTAGCTGGTGCAGTGCTGTGTTTTGACTTCAGCCTGGGAACAGTGCTGATAATACCGATGTTTTCAGTTGTTACCCTGACCCAGGACTTTGTGAGGCTCATGCTCTGCCAGGGAGGAGGGGAAGCCATGAGGAAGCAGAGACAGGACACCTGACCCAAGCTAGCCAAAGAGGTATTCCATGCCACAGCACATCATGCCCGGGGTGGGGGGTAACTGGGAGTTACCCGGAAGGACACAGGGTCTTCTGGGTCGGACTCGTTTCTCAGCGGGTGGTACTGTATTCTCTTCCCTTGTTATTTTCTCTTACCATTGTTGTCGTTGGTGGTAGTGGTGGTGATTTGTGTTGTACATTGGTTGCTGGACTGTTCTTGTCTCAACCCGTGGGAGTTGCACTCTTTCAATTCTCCTCCCCATCCCTCCAGGAGCAGGGAAGGGGAGAGCCCCTGGGGGGGGATTGTGCCTCAATTGCTTCCAGTCCGGCACCACTCACTGGGAGTGAGTGAACAAGCTGTCTGGCTGGGGTTTAAACCACGACACAAAGCAAGAAAAAATAAAAAGCCAAACTTGTGAATGTGTAAGTGCAGATTTTTTTATGAAGTCTTTGACCTTCCTCATTACAAACTAGTGATCTCTAAGCAACTTCTGTTATATTGTTTACTGACATACACAGCACTAAAGTATCCAAATAGCATGGGATGAGTCAGGTAAAGCAAAACTGCCTCCTTGAATATTACAAAAACTAACCCAGAAAAAATGAAACAAAAAATAAAATAAAAGATGTGACCTTTCTGCAGATATCCTCAATCTATCATCAACCTGAGCAGGTAAATTCCCAAAGAAGCACTGTGGAAACACAGCTATCCAACTCCAGGACTTCAGGCCTAAGATGGTTTATGCAAAATTAATGTGCATGGTAGACTTAATCTGCAATCCAAACAATCTGCCTACAAATAACAGTTGACTGTGTGACAATGGAACATTTCAGTAGCTTACTGCAGCTATGATCACACTATGCTGCTAGAAAAGATGTGCAACTTCACTACAATATTCTGCTGACAGCACAGGCTGTAAAGAATACAACTGATGTGAAGTCTACGAGGGATGAAATTTTTGCTTTTAGCAGAACACGAGGCCTTATGGAGTATCTGTACAGAGGAAAAATTCAGAATTCTTCCATGAGCAACAGATGCAGTAAAATACATTTAAAATTTTGAGTTAAAATCTATACAAATTGAGACAAAAAGAAAGTAATCACAAGTGTTGTGTAAAGTGAAGAGTAAAATGAGAGTTAAAAGATGACAGCTGTCAAAAGACAAGTTTAACTATGTGTACCCCAGGTCACTTGCACTGCACCCATCTCACGTCTAGTGCCTGGCACAAAGTTTGCTTCTTTGAATATTACCTTCCTGTTTGTATTATAAGCTTAAAAGATGAAGGTGGTGATAGGGAGAGAGCTTAATATTGGGGGAATATGAATGGGGGGAAGGGGAGATATAAGTTTAAATCACTATATCTTTTTATTTCATGAAAAATACTGGGGGCATAGAAATATAAAACCCTTACAGGAAGAAGGTGGCACCTACTTTAAGACTGTAGGTTTACAATCATTTAAGAAGATTTTTTTTAATATCTGTTGAGCTACTGTATGGACTGTAGAAGAACTAGTAATAGCAAGATACTAAAGCTTAAAGTGGAGCATCTGTCAACAGAGAAGGATGCCACTGCAGTCTCAGATATCACTAATAACTCCTAGAAACTGCTCACTTTAAGCAACATCCTCAGCATCTGAGGTTGATCTAAAAATACCTTTCTTAATATTACTCACTTTGATCCTAATTTTGTACGTTTCAAAAGGCCACTGTTAAATAAAATACAATCACAAGAAAATCTGAACTCAGGAAATTAAAATGTTTTTGTCCAGGTAGAATAGAACAAAAAACTGGTAAAATTTTTGCTTATTGTAAATTCAAGTTTAGAATGTCAGAAAAATATTCAAGTAGTCATATACAGAACTTGTTACCATTTTGGAGCTACTATAAATACAGCAGGCATCTTAAGAGAGCTCTGAAAGCAGCCAGGATACCTCATGCATTCTAATACTATCCAGTATTTCCTCAACAGAAAAATGAATCAGTTCAGGAGAGCAACCTCCTTGCCAGGAAATAGCATTAACATAGCAATTTTGACTGAGGCCATTTATAAATTCAGCTCCTGCAACTGAAAGCAGGCATTTCTGAGGAAAGGATATTTCATTTGTATACACAGACATTCATTACCCTTCCTCATTCCACTCTAAATACCGAAAAACAATTATTTTTCAGCTTGGTACGAATTTAGCAAACACCATCTCCCCTCAGCTGCAAAGTTTAATTTCTTTGAACAAGGGAAATGCTCAAGGCACTTTGTGTGCACATGTAGCAAAGTAGCACATGGACATATATGCCCCTTCCCTTCTCCTGTCAATCCCATGCTGCCAATGTGAGATTTGATCATTGCCCTGCACCCTCCTCAGCAGAGCCCAAGCTTTCACGCATCCCCAGATGCAGTGCTGCAGCCACACTCTTGTCTCTCTGGGGACACAGGAGGTCTGCGAGGAAGCAACACAGGGTCCTGCACAGCTTTGTGCAGGAGGTCACCAAGTTTACTCAAACACGTGCCAGACAAGTGCCTGTAGTTGTGTTTGGCATGTGTTGCTACCTGTATTCACGCCCACTATATTAACCTGACATGCTGCATACCGAAACATTTTCACAAAAACCTGATGATTCAACAGTGTTGCATGAATCAGTATTTAGAAAAAACAAGAAAGGAGTGTGTGTGGCCTCTTGGGCTGTGCTCAGTAATTTTACAAGGTGTGGATATAAGAGTATTAAAAAACAATACGTATAAATACAGGTTACAGTTGAAAGGTCAATCGCTAGCCATTTACACTGACATTGAAAAACACTGGATGGGAACTCTGGCAAAACTTTAGGCAAAAATGTAATAGTAAAAAATATCAATGAAGATTCCTAAAATTACTGTAACTCTCATTAGAAAAAAGACACACTGCTTTTTCAGTTTCCCAGCTGCCAACATCCCCCTTAAGCCTCCTGGTTTCATTATGCAGCAAAATGCTTCTCAAAAGTCCGGACGCCTACAGCCATCAGCAGTCCAGGAAAAAAGGCACATGAACCTACCATTACCAAAGATGTGAGTCATGAGCTTTGTGAGCACTTGCTTCAGGTTGAACTCCACCAGCCTCACTGCCTCCATGGTGTGACACTCTTGCTTGTGAGCAGTGCGATGACCTTGCTCAAACAACTGCAAGCCTTCACCATCCTTAATGTTGGAGAACAACTAGAATAAAACCACAAGAACACCAGTGCATTCCATCAATGATTTTCCAAATGGAAACAGAAATGAAGTTATATTGATTTAAGTGGGAATCTTACCTGCAAAGTCTGCACCATGAAAAACAAAAATGTAAAGACTGATCTTGTAAAATTCTGCTCACTAAACACAGAGAGAAATCATTGCAAGAACAGAAAAATTCAAACAATAAGACTTGTTTTATTTCTGTACCATATCTTCAAATAACATGATACAGGAAAAAATTTATAAAAGAAACAGGTTTTTTTTTTCTGATGCTGTTACTTTGAATATTAACATGCAGAACAAAGTACAAGCTACAGTATACATAAATTATATCCCCCAAAACTCTAATACAAAGTGGCATTTATTACAGCTCTAACTTTTTTAGTAATTGAATGATGTAAAAGAAATGCCAAAACATCCAACTCTTTTTAAAAGCTGTAATCAAATGAACCTGAAAACTGTAAACAAACAGAAAACCCAAACAAAACCAAACAAATAAATCCAAACCCAACCAACTAATCAAAATCCAAACAACAACCACACACAACACAGCTTAACAAAAACTTTAGCTGCTTATATTTAATTCACCTCGGGTAGTTTATTCATTTAAGGACTACTATTTTCCTGTGTTTTCCCCCACACAGCACCTTTCTGTGCACAGAAATTTTGTCTATGGAGCATTTAAGGATTCCTGGTCTTAGTCTGAGGTTTTCAGATACATCACAAAGCACAGGGGCAGACTGTATTTGGGATGTGACAGACCTGCTCTTCATGCAGAGGTCACTCTCTACCACATCTGCTGCAAGTTCAAGATTTCAGTTTCCTATGCATCACCATCCATTTCTGACCAGGTGATCCCAGACAGACATGTACTGGCAAATGTACATTCTCTCACACCAATAAAACACTCTCACTAAGTCACATTGTTGGAGGCTCTGTGTTTCAGGGAGACAAGCAGGCAGTTTTACACTCTTGTTGGAAAATCCTTACAGTTGTACAAAACCCACCTCTGTTAAGTCCAGAGGACAGGGAGAGCTAATTCTAACACTTGCTTCTAGTGCCCTTTCCTACCCTTTCTCCTCCACCTTCCCATATTCAAGCAAGCGCACAGAGGGAAAACACATGCACTGATATTTTCTTCACAGTAAGCCTCCCAACATAACCATCTCTTACTGAGGAGATGCCACAAACAGTGAGCAACCTTCACAACTCACAGATACTCACGGAAATTGTTTTAATTGCAGTTTGATGACTTCAGTGCACTGAATGCTCTAAATAAAGTTCAAGTGAACCTCTGACAGTGTACAAGTGCTGGGCACAATTAATTAAGACTAGCTTCTAGCACGTTTCATACAGACACAATGCATGCAGAAGGAGTCAGAGTTTAGGCAGCATACAAACTAGCAGCAAAATGGATTGAGGGAATAAAAAAATCCCATCAGTAGCATTTAACTGCGCACTGCTAGTCAGAAGGAGGCTTGGCTGGCAGAGTGAGAAAACACCTCTCAAGTTAATCTCCTTAGCACTCTGCAGAAAAATACAAAATAAAAAGAGAAATACCAAATAAAACTATTATCCATCAGTCTAACAAAAAATGCCTTTAATAATCAAAAGGCAGCAACTTGACAAAGCTAGGTATTACACCTTTAAATAACAGATTCTTTATTCAAGTGCTCACCTGAAAGATTAAACCCCTTTCTTCCTACCGGCATTATTTCTGCACTGGCTGTTAAGAAGCAAATACCCACCCTACAACTAATTTACTGTCAGGAGAGCAGATCAGTCTTCTAAGCATGTGGTTTTGAAAGCCAGGGGGTACTTACAGTGGCCAGCATTAGCCTAGGCAGGTTAATCATCTTAGACTCAGGGTGGTCAACAAACACAGGCTCCCCCCCACAGGAACCTGGAGTGGCTAAATTAGGTTACTGCTCTGAACTACCCTCTACAAGTAGCTACTTCTGCTTTCTAGTGACTGAAGAGACTACCCTCAGTAACCCAAAATAGCTTTCAGGCCACAGAAATGCTCCTCCCTTGGATTAGAATATATTGCATTTACACATTAGAAGATGTATATCTTATTTTTCCCCCACCAGCAGTACTTTGGAACATAAAAATCTCTTAATACTCCTCCCCTTCATTACTTCCTCTGCCCCCACTGCTGTAAGGAACAGGTAGTCTAGACACTGCCTTTAAAATGCAACACTTGTATCAACAAGTTTTGTCGGCAACATGGACAGTGGGATTGAGTGCGCCCTCAGCAAGTTTGCTGATGACACCAAGCTGTGTGCTTCGGTTGATACCCTGGAGGGAAGGAATGCCATCCAGAGGGACCTTGACACGCTTGTGAGGTGGGCTGATGCCAACCTCATGAAGTTTAACCATGACAAGTGCAAGGTCCTGCACCTGGGTTGAAGCAATCCCAGGCACAGCTACAGGTTGGGCAGAGAAGGGATTCAGAGCAGCCCTGCGGAGAAGGACTTGGGGGTGTTGGTTGATGAGAAAATGAACATGAGCCGGCTTCAGTGTGCGCTTGCAGCCCAGAAAGCCAGCCGTATCCTAGGCTGCATCAAAAGGAGCGTGACCAGCAGGTCAAAGGAGGTGATCCTGCCCCTCTACTCTGCTCTTGTGAGACCTCACCTGGAGTATTGTGTGCAGTTCTGGTGTCCTCAACATAAAAAGGACATGGAACTGTTGGATTGTTCCAGAGGAGGGCCACGAGGATGATCAGGGGACTGGAGCACCTCCTGTATGAAATCAGGCTGAGGAAGTTGGGGCTGTTCAGCCTGGAGAAGAGAAGGCTGCGTGGAGACCTCATAGCAGCCTTCCAGTATCTGAAGGGAGGCTATAGGGGTGCTGGGGAGGGACTCTTCATTAGGGACTGAAGTGATAGTAAAAGGGGTAATGGGTTCAAACTTAAACAGGGGAAGTTCAGTTTAGATATAAGGAGGAAGTTCTTTACTGTTAAGGTGGTGAGGCACTGGAATGGGTTACCCAAGGAAGTTGTGAATGCTCCATCCCTGGTGGTGTTCAAGGCCAGGTTGGACAGAGCCTTGGGTGATATAGTTTAATGTGAGGTGTCCCTGCCCATGGCAGGGGGGTTGGAACTTGATGATATTCAGGTCCTTTCCAACCCTAACTATTCTATGATTCTATGCTTCTAAGTACATAGAAGTACTTTTGCTTACCACAGTATTACTCCTGAACTGTTGATATTACAATTACTGTCTGAAGCAAAATTCCATTTTAGTAGATTATATGAGATATGGCAATAAAATACATGCAAGAATCACATAGTAAATACATTTAGTCATACCCCAGCCCTCTAACCTGCCTGCTTCTTCATCCTGCCAAATGAGCCATATGCACCATCTCCTTCTCTGTGCCAGGACAAGTGCCATGCAGCTGTGCACTGAGCCAGGCTGCGAGGTGGATCTGGATGAGATGTAACCCAGGAGAAGGGAAGAAATTAAGCAATGTGAAAACGGTCAAATTCAGTTCAGCAATCATTTATCTGCACACTGGCAGCATCAAGAGACATGCTGGCATGTGTGATTGGGCTGGGCCACTTTTGGTATAGGCATGAATCTATGCCACTTTGCACAGCTTGTGAAAGCACAGCCTTAGGGGAGTCCCCAGGAAACAAGTAGCAGCAAGTACAGTCAAACACAGAAAGGCACTTTGGTATTCTCCACAGAGGCTCCAACAGCTCCCATCAACTCCAGCACAGCTATAGACAGGGTTATACTGACACACAAAAGAAAAAAAAAAAGCCTTACAGTGTTATTAACATTTATTCCTTTCTTTCCATTCACTGACACTGCTATGTAAATATGAGCAGCTTTAAACTGATACACCAATTTCACTATTACTATGACTGAACTGTGCTAAGTACACGTCTAGGATTTGAAACGCTTCAACATTTCTATATACATAAGCCAGGAAATTCAAAGCTTGAATAAAATGAAGAATCACCTACAGCCACTCCTTTTTGATGTCAATTCTTCTCAAACACATATCTGAGCAAATGGAAAAAAAATAAATATAACTGTATTGCATAAAAGACTGACACATCCAAGATGCCACAATTTCACATACATTTATTCCTTCAGTGCAGACTCAAATAAAATGCACTATGTTATTGTTTTGAATATGATCAGTCACTACTGCTACCAGAAAAGAAATTTCCTGTAGCCATAAATTGAGCACCTATGTATCTGCCTACAGGAAGCACAAGAAGTTTCTTCTTTAAGTGCAGGTGTGTAAAATACTGAATATTGTGCCATGATGCAAAAGGGAAAACAAAATCAGCATTTAAAAAAAATGTTTTTCACCATATCCGACAGATGCTGCATTACAAAGCAGAAGGCTGAAAGGATTTAAAGTGACTTTAACCGCGTGGCATGAAATTTACTCACAATTTAGCTCATAATAAGAATAAAGTAAAATTTGGTAACATGCAATGGCCAGAAGATACTGAGTTTGAATTGGGCAAATACAAATGGAGCTATGCTCCTACAGTATTTGTCAGCCTGGCATGGAGGGCGGAAGTCACACGTGGGATTTCCATAAAGACTCCATCATTTCTTCAGTCACTTGAGAGACTTCTTTTAATCTCCATCACTTCATTATCCATACATTTAGGATTTAGTCCAAGATCAAGTGTCTCTTTACAGGCTCGCATTCATAACAGGTTTCAGACCAGAAAGAACTGTAACTATATCCTGTCTTTGCACAATGCAGTTGTGTATTCCTCCTGTCAGTCATGCACATGCCAGCAATTAAGATAATGAATACATAACGCTCATGTACTTACACTCACAGACAAACTGGCACTTAAGTATAGCTCTGCATGAAGGAGCTGCATGTGGCAACACTCAACCTTGCCACACCAAATACATTTGGACTCGCTGGCCCTAATATTTATTAGGATATTTATTCCTGTAAGTGATAAAAGACCTGCACTCTAAATCCACTTACAAATA